TGGTAAAAGGAATTTATTTTGGAAATACAAAAATAAAGCAAGTATTGTATGCTGATGATATAACACTCTTCATCAAAGATATGAGTTCAGTTAAGGAAATAGAACATGCTTTAGAAGGTTTTTATGAAATATCAGGATTACAGTTAAACAAAGATAAGACATTATATTCTGCCCCTGGGCCCACAGGTGTCTAAAAATTATTTTGTTACTTTGTATACAATGTTATCAATTATGTACAATTTTTCTTTATGAGAGAAATGAATAAAATCCTGATAATGAATAAAAACCTATGAAAATAAAAAAAAATCTAGCATATAAGTATTGGTGTGTACTGCTAGGTTCAGGAATCATCAACATGATGAGAAATTTGGCCCAGTCTTGGCTATCACGTATTAGTCAAAACATATTCTTTCATACGATTGGTAATGCTGCAAGAAATGCTAGAAATGCTGCAAGAAATGCTGCAAGCCTCCACTCATGTACAAGATCCAAAACAACATAGTAGCCATCAATGCACACCATTACACAGCACCCATGATTGCCAGCAACACACGACAGTATCACTCAAAGAAGTTGCTGGCTATCCCATCCCGCACCCAACTCTACCAGAACTCATTTTTCCCTCGGATAGTAACTGCGTGGAATGCACTTTCGAAGATCACCCTTGACGCTACTTCACTGGAGGGCTTCAAGGGAGCGCTTCCACCCAGGATCTAGACCAAGAACTAGATAGTTTATTCCTCAGCACTACATCCTGACTTATGGATCCTGCCGAGTATCGTCGTAGAAGTAATAAGAGCTTCCATTTCATTTTTTGAGGGGGGGGGGGGGTTCCAAAACTGGTCTAGACTTTTAACTATTTGATTTAGGAGTGGTCTTTATGGCAAAAGACGGGCTCGTGGGAAACTTGGAAATAGAAAGAATATTGGTAAAAAGAAGTTTTGATTGAACCAATGAATTGTTTCCTGATCTGAGCAATGATAATGATAATAATAAGATATTTATAATTTCCACCGCACACTGTACGATCTGACTACGATCCTATTTTGAACGTGTCAATTTTTTTTTAAAGGAAATTTAAAAAAATCTAAAGGAATGTACTACTGAAACTACTGAAAGTGAGCATTATCACTATTTTATCATTGTTTAGCTTAAGAAACAGTGGCGGATCCAAGGGAGAGCCGAATCGACCATGGCCCCTTATTATGGTGGCCTAGAAGAGTAAAGGGGGACGAGAGAGAGCGACAGAGAAAAAAAAAGGAGAAAAGAAAGAAAAAAGGAGGTAATAAGAAGAGAAGAGAGGAGAAGGAAGGAGAGAGAGGAAAGCAAAAAATTAATATAAACTAATAAAATAATATCGCTACTCTGAGTAAAAGGTCGGCAACGTATTGGATAGGATACTGCAATTTATTCGTATAGCCTGCATCAACGTATAAATCAGTGGCGGATCGGGAGGGGGGGGGGGGGGCGGCGGCCTTCCCTTTTATGGCGGCCGAAAAAAAGGAAATGGGAAAAGAAGAAAAATGTGAAAATAATGTAAAAGAGAAGAAGATAGAGAAAGAGAGAGAGTTTCAGATTTACGTGATTGAAAGTCACATAGCCCCTTTCACTTCATTTCATTTAAAAAATAACTTCTCTTTTTCTCTGAAGACAATTTTATAGATTTTTTTTTGTACTGTACTTTCGTCTGCAGTCTTCTTTAGCACATTCATGTCGTTTGGGGCTATGTGACTTTCAATGCACACATACTCTAATAAAATGTTACCAATTGAATAGCCAGACTTTAGACTTGTGCAATTATCTCTTTTATTTCTTTACTTTGTATCATATCATTTTCTTCTTCTAATAAATGACTTTGTCACACATATATATGACTTATAGAACATCTGTTTCTTTATCATAGAAATATTTCAGCTGCTTTGGTCAATTTGTTACTACATAAGGAAGAAAGCAAAGAAATTATATACCGGTACATGTAAAAAAGCTTCACAAATAACAAAGTCTTTTCCTGGCCCTGAGATAACAATGTAACACAAGACTCTCTCAGAAGGCAGAGACTCGCTTCAAAACAGTTCAGTACTGAAAATGCGCTGAAAATGTACACTGTTTACATAGTACACTGACAAAACTGCCTAATTATAATCAGTTAATCTAGCAACTACGAGGAAGGTTTATTCCTCCCACTAAACTGAATGTACATGTATTTGGTGTAACAGGAGAGTTACATGTATCCATGACGACATCACAATCCACTGACTAAATAGCCAATTTGAAATCCTATAGCTCTCTATAGTGATTTCATATTTCAAACATCCATAACTCCCTTATTATTTTTTCTATTTATTTATTTCAAACTTCTGTTTCTCTTATTTGTATGCTTTCATACACATGAGCTTTTTACAGATGTTGGATTGCCCTTAAATAAAACTTCCAATGCAACAATAATGTACCCAACTTTTACAAACAAAACTTCATCCATAATAATAATAATATTCTGTTTTATATAGCGCTCAATACATCAATCCAACGATGTGCTTAAGCGCTTTACAGATATATTATCCCGGTCGTCAGATTCAGGCTCACCCGCACACAATGTGTGCCCATTTTCCACTCCCTGGGGAGCCTTCCAGCCAGTCGCCATTCTACAAGCGCACACTTGCTCGTCCAACCACACAAACTTTCGCATCCATTCTTACTGGGTACCCATTTAACACCTGGGTTTTGCCAAAGGATATTAATGCCGTGTCGGGATTCGAACCCTCGACCTTCACATCTCCAGTCAAGCGCCTTAAAACACTCGACCATGACACTCCGACACATAGCTCATGAAACTTTTTAACATGAGTCTTGTATAACTCAGGGTCAAACAAACTTACAACCCTTATTACTCACCTGTATGTCCTGCTTGTGTTACAAAATAGTTCTCAAAGAACGTAACTTTATATTGAAAGTACCGGTACATCGCTGACTGAATACTCTTCAAATCCATGTACATGTATATGTAATAAAGGCACTTTGTTCTATCGCTCTTATTCTACCAAGTTGCATATTCCAATTGATGTTAGTTATAATTAAAATCACTTTCCTGAGTTGCATAATAAATTTCAGTTTCAGCCAAGCAACACCACATATAAATTATTGTACCTAAGATGTGGTTTAAAATGACCTACAATATACTGGTACACACTGTAACTTTTTCCTGAATGTGCTCATCAGTGTATCTTCATTCTCATAGACTGATGGCAAGTACTGAGTGCTCTTTCTATCCAAGCACATAAATAGTTACAACTTAGCACATGGGGACCTAGGCTACAGTTCTCATCCTAAGGGCTTTTCTACTGGGTGACAATAATAATGTACTGACTGCAACATTGCACTTCTGAGCCAAATTTCTCTCTAAAGAATCAAGAAAAATAATACCACTTACCAGAATCTTAAACATGACTTATTCAAATCTGAATGCGCATCTTGAATGATTTACTCCTGCTGAATTCATAACCCGTTATGATTTATTTGATATAGTAACAAGCAATGTCTACACCATAAATTCAGTTCATATAGAATTGATGTTCTGCATGAATGCAATTGATGAATATATCACCAGGGAGGGCAATGTCTAATAAACCTTTACGATTAATCATAAAAACAACGTAACAATCTCCAGTTTCTCATCTACAGAGTTGACTACGCCATCCGTCTCAAGTTTACTTGCAACAAGCGAGTTCGTAATTGCACACTGCGCATGCGCCAAAATCGGGAACGACTTTTTCAAAGGTCACATGAACATAAAATGAGCTGAGAGAGGAACTGTAATTTGTTTGTGTACTGGCCTTTCCGTTGTGAATGGTCACATCTGACATGTCAATCACTGAATATCAGTTCTGAATGTCGGAATTGGTTCTTTATAGTAAACTTTACTTGGAATCTGATCATCGGTAAAGTATTATCGGGATGATCGTGAACCAAGTCCCCAGGGACTCGGATCCACGGACACTTTTTACTCTGACAAAACATTTCCTAACTTCCAAAATTGTATCCACCAAAGTTCATGTTTAATGGATTATTACTTTATTTAGTCAAGCCAATTTAGTAGGTCTATTAAAGTCCTTCACTATTGACTTTTCGAAGCATGACCTAATTCAGAGTATGCTTAAATGGGGGCATTGATGTATGTAGAAAAATAGGATTGAGATCCCATGCAACGCTTTGAAATGTAAAAGAAGAGTAAGAAAAATAAATTTGAGATTCGACTGTTATGTCTAGACCTTGCATAATGCAATTCGTATTGGTATTATATTCCATCTCAGAGTTATTTTAAAGGATAATACGGTTTAAGCTGTCGGACCAATGGACCAAGCTGTTTATTTCTTTATTCATGGTCTGTTTCTACTGTTTATTCTATATTCATTGCCAACCCTCGAAAACGATTGTCACAGAGGTAAGTTTGCATAGGAGAACTATATATCTCTCTATACATATACGAATGATTTATTGGGCTTATTCATAGACAGTTTTATAGTGTTTAGAGTCATATTATTTGATCATATTGAAGTTGCCTAGAGCTGTTAAATGAATATTTGCTGTTATAGTTTATCACTAACATCAAAAGAATCTGACTAAAAAATACTATAAAACTGTTTATATTTTCCTTGTGGTGCGAGTCTCCCTTGCGTGTTAAGATCATCAAATTTCCCATAGGACGGGACTTGCACCACAAGGAATATACTCCTGATTGATTGATTGATTTTTATTCGCCATGCTTCCAACATACAAGAATAACAGATCAAAATTAGATTTAAAAAAGTAGTAATATTTACAGACAGATAAGCTTTTAGTTTTAAATCCATACAACTTTGATATCTGTACAAAAACTTCCGACGAGAATTCGCTTTTTTCCTCGTGATCCGAGTCCCCTTCTATGAGAAATTTGAGTGACGGTCCACAAATGTTTATCGTGTATCGAAGGAGCCTCCACAATCCATTTCAACAACTGTTGTAAGAATTTTCGATGAATAAAAAGATAGAAAGCATGGCGAACAGCCGGTAAAACATACACTAAACAGTGAAGGACGAACACACGCACAAATTTTCACGTAGCCCTATGTATGTTACGCAGAGCGTGTGAGTGAATGGGCGAGTTTATGGTCATGTGACCTATAACACGTTGAGGTCATACGACTCCAGTGGCTATTTACGAACTCGCTTGTTGATTCAATCAGATCAATCAGAAATAAAGACAAAAAATGGGCGAGTGGCTCAGGGAAAATCTCCCACACAGTTTGAATACAATAAATATACAAGGAATTACAGTTTCAGTCTTGATTACAACCTACAGCACAAATTTTGTCTCAGAACTGACACAATGTTACCCTACATTCATGGAGCTGCTGCAACACTTCTGAAAATTGTTGGCTCCCTACCACAATTCTTTCTCTGTTGTCTTCTGTCAAGAGGAATTGGTGCAAAATTTCTGGATGAAACCCACTGATGTCCAAATCAAGCTGCATAAAAATATTTTAAAAAATAAGAAAAAAATTATAATACTAATAATATTGATAATAATCATAATAACGATAGTAATAACAATAATAATCAATAAAAGTTTCTAATAAAGTGCCTTAACAGGAGACAAAATGACATATACCCGGTATTGTCTAGTAGACCGTGGGCCGAGCGAGATTTGGGGCTTAAATTTTCTGATTTTGGACTGGATTTGTGGTACATATTTTTTGGTAGCCAGAATTTAGGATAAAAATACACAAATCCCAAATCAGCTTGTTCCCCGGTGGAAGGATTGCATGTTAGTATAAAATGTAATTTTAATTGACACTCTGCTGAAGAGAACTGTGTGTGTGAACGAGACCGGTACTCTCCGTTCGTACACGTTTGTAAACGCACCATGTGACGAGCGTGAAACGGTAAAATTTGGAATCTTTGGTGACTGGCTCCTCAGAAACTAGTGCTAAGCCAGTCACAGAGAATTTATAATTTTAACTGAAGCCTCTTAGTGCATGGTATATTCGATTTTTTTAATTCAAACTTATTTGGGAACCTCCATATTTGATGAAGATGGTTTACGGGCATATGGGATGTGGTTTGAAAAATGGATGCGGTTTACATTGTGGTGTATTAAGTGCATTAACCATATTCAGATCCGAATATTGGCAGCGAATTGAAATCATCTTGAAAAGGATTCAATTCATGGTTGTTCATGAGAATTGTTAGTTAATGTATTTTCTCTCTCTCTCTCTCTCTTGCATAAATAAAATATGAATATAATATTGGGCTTTGATTACAACAAATTGAATATCTTAACGCTATTAAACAGGGAGACAGAAATGAGGAGGTAATTAATCAAAACAAACATTTAAGGTATATCTGCTAAATGTTCATTAGTGATGGAAACAAATGCAGGTAATGTTAAAACAAAGAATAATAAATTATAGAGCAATGATAAATCAATTCTTTGACATTGATTGATTTGTTCAATTCTACATGAATGTGGTGACTTGTCGGTTACAAACAGCAGGCTTCAAAATCTACTCAATCTATCAAACAATAAATACACAGAAAAGCTAGCAGGAAAGGGAGATGCCACAATGATATCATTGATGATGATTAAAAGTTTGAATAAAAAATAAATGTCAGCGAATTTTGGGGTAAAACAGTCAACTGAGAAAGCCTAGGACTTTTTCGGCTTGCTCGTCAGTTAATTTCTCCAATGTCCCCCCCCCCCCCCCCCCCCCCCCCATCCACCGCTGCCAAATGATAAATTGATGGTATAATCTTTTCAAAAAAGAAGAAAAGATCAGAGTTCAAGAATATGAGTAGGCCACAATTTAAAGCGAGTACCCCCCCCCAAAAAAAAAAAAAAAAAAAAAAAAAATCAAATCAAACTTCTGAAAAAATGTAAGCACTACTACAGAAATGGAAATAAAAAAAGACATTCAGTATATTGTTCTTTATAATTAAAATGAATATTTAGGGGACTCTAATTCTGTAGGCCTATTCTTAAACTACCATTGCATTGCCAATGCAAGAAATGTTTTCATCAAACGTTTTAATTACAAGAAATTATACGAGTCTTGTCGGTATGGAGTCACTGATCTCTACACAGATCAGTGTACTTTAATATAGCATAGTCTGTTTAATGGTCCCTCTGACTGCCCGTTTTTCAAAATATTTTCACCCTGACAAGGTTTTCATTAAGTTTTTGCAGTTTATATTTGCAAAATTATATCGTTTACATTAGCAAATGTGATTATCTTTGGGAAATATTCGAAATATTTGAATGGATTACAGAATCCAGGGACGGAGAATGCGCTGCACACGGTGAGTTTACATATGTGTATGAATGGAGAGTACCGGTCTTGTTCACACACAGTTCTCTTCACCAAAATTGAGTCGAGGGAACATCAATTTATGTAACAAGTGTATTTTCATCTTTTTATCTTCTTATTTTCTATCCAATTACCCTTTGACCATTGCTGGGCTTTTATCTTATCAAAACTTTCTGATTATTTACTGGTATTGGAATGCAGCTGTGAAGAATTTTCCACAGATGTCAAAGATGATATTTAGGTTCAATTTAGGATTCCTCACAGATATCTATAGCAAAATTCATCAGATTTGATGGACACAGCATCAAGATCTATGGCACATGAATCTATTCTTGAATGGGACCTGTACGAGACGATAGTAAAATGGAAGTTCAATTTTCAGGACTAAATGTATTTTTTGAAAGCTAATATTATTAGCTCTCATTTTCCAAGTGCAACTCAAGTCAATTGGCTTCTTTCAATTGACCCTCCCACCTAAATGATGTTAGACAGCAGAGGGCCACCTTTCTCCCTTACAGCACAGGTCAGCATATGTACAGATACAATATCGGGGAACAAGATTACACAAGGCCACTTCCTGCTTCAAGTGAGACTGTACAGTCAACAAATTCAAAATTTTACTAAAATATTGTTCAGGTGTCATGAACTTGACCCCCCCCCCCCCCCCCCCCCCCCCCCCCCACCCCCCCCCCCCCCCCCCCCCCACCCGACCAGTGCTGCCCTCTACGGCCAAATACGGTAGTGGTGATAGCGAGAATTGAGACTGTAAAGTCAACAAATTCAAAACTTTACTAAAATATTGTTCAGGTTTCATGAACTTGACCCCCCCCCCCCACCCGACGGCCTACGGCTAAATACGAGAATTGATCTCACCTTTAGAGCTTGTACATAGGCATGTAGAGACTGGACGACCTCTGCACAGCGTGACAGAGGAACAGGGATGCAGCTACCTATCAATCTGAAATCAATGATAATAATAATAATACAATATTTATAAAGTGCATAATAAACAAAAGTTTCTCTATGCGCTGTACAAGCATGAATTACCCAGCATAGCCTAATCAGTATATATCAGGGGATGATAGTGAGCACTAAAAAAAAAAAAAAGTTTTTATTTTCCCCCTCAACCATGCCCCCCTTGAGAACAAAAAAAAAAAGGGAATTTTTTTTTTTTTTTTTTTTTTTTTTTTTTTTTGGGGGGGGGGGGGGGGGGTGGTGGCATCTAACAACATTCCCTCCCCCCCCCCCCCCACCCCCCATTTTGAGTAAGAAAATTGGGGAAAATTGGGGAAAATAGAGAAAATAGGAGAAAAATCAGGAAGCCGATTTAAATCTGGTAATTATCAGGGCTGATATTTCCTGTTCTCCCTGAGGGCCCTGCGATCATATCATTACCCCGGCTTCATATCTATACCTCTATCATTATCAGCAGTATTAAAAGGTTCATGTATTAAGCAACTTCCTAAAAGAGATTGATAAAGCCTTGTAATACATGTTTAATGCAACAAGCATTTTCTTGATGACTCATGATTACAAACAAGCTGTTCAGAATGTTGTCTCTCTCTCTCTCTCTGTACATTCACAACCAGGTTCACCAATCCTTTTCAGAACTTCACCCAAGGAAGAATATATATCTCTCCCCTAATTTCTCTACTTCTCTCCCACAATCTCAAGTAATTAAATAGGACATAACACCAAAGACGCTTCTCCCTCACTATCTCATTAATTTCTATCCCCTTGAAAAAAAACAAATTCCTTTTCAGGACTACCCACATGGTTTAACACAAACTTTATAAATGTTAATTACACCACCATGAAACATTTCACCTTCAAAGACCATCTGATGCTGCTCGGTGGCTGCCGGGCTCACTATCAATTGGGCAAAAAGAATTTCCATTTTCGGTTTAATAAAATTTGGAGTGGACTTTAAAGAATTATTATTATTATTATTATTCTTTATTTGACCAACCGGAAAACATACAGTTAGTATAAAAATCAGATAATACATGATAGAAATTTCATAATACATGCAAGCAGTTTTAAGAAAGTGGAGAGGAGAGAGAGAGAGAGAAGGACACAATCTGCTGGTCAGGGCCTCAGGGGTGACAAAAGCAATTGAAATTGCTATTTCTCAAAAGCATGTCACCCCCAGTTTTAAGACCAGCAGTCCCAATGTAATGGTGTCACATTCCCCATGAGAACCCACTCCTATATATCTCTAACACTGTATTCTACCGCATTCATTTAAAGCCCATCTGTACTAGTTTGGCTAGGAGGGATTAGACCACCCAGGAAGGTCACTGACAGGTGGCTATCTCATCAACTCAGCTCTCAATTAACATAAGAAAAAAAAATGATCATGGGGGACCAATGGTCACCGATTAGGCATTGTTTTCTATATAGAGGGAGCAAGTAGCTACAAGTAGCCTGCCATAAGGCTGCATGTACGCTACCATTATAGTGCTTTGTAAATGCGAGAGAGCCATTGCTTCAGTGCCTTGTGCCTTGTACCTTGGGCTTGGCACAATGGGGATTAGCCCTGTGGCATGATAAGAGTTAAACTATGTACCTTAGAAGAGACTGGACGATGATCTCAACGAGAGGTAACGCCACAGAGAGGTAGTTCAGGCTAGCACCTATGGTTGGGAGGCCCTCTATAGGGCAGCCACTGGCAAGGTGCTTGAAGGACCATACGATCACATCCCTACAAGGTCAAAACAGACAGGACCTAGGTTAATAATTTTTTAATTTCAATTGAATTTTATTTTTCCATCTTTAAAAAAAAAAATCAAATATAACATAGTATTGACACATTGTATTAAAATAATAATTAAACATAAAACTGGAGGGATACACTTAATAAGTAGATTGCTTGTAAGCAGGGCCCTGTTATACAATATAAAATTTACAACTTTGTTAGAGAAATATCTAAACATTTGAGAGAATTATAAAACAACAAAACAAGGGAAACGCTCTCGGCGGTGTCGCCTGTATTGCGCAATTCAATATGATGAAAAATTGAGGTTGGAACATTATTCATAGGCAGGGTGGCCCATTAGCAGGCCCCCAAAAATGAAATCCTCTAAATATAATCACATTTTGAAGTGAATATTGACAAAGAATCATCAGAAGAATTATTTACTATTAAATGTACCACGATCGATAACTTTGAACAAATTAATAAAAAAAACTTATTAATTCTCATATTAAGTTGTGAAAACATAATCCAAGTCTACTGACCTGGAATTTGTGTCATGATTTGTGATACTTGATAACCCTTGGGTACAAGTTTCATGGAATTGGACAATCAATTTTAAAAATATGCTAAAAAATTCAAAATCTTAATGTTGATGCCACAACAAAGTCCAAGTTTATTGACCTAAAATGACCTTTGACCTTAACTTAGTGACCTGAAATACTACTCACATGATTGGGGATACTTGATAACCCATAGTCCAAGTTTCATTGACTAAGAACTTAAACTTTAAGTTTTTGATGTTGACGCCGCCGTCACCGGAAAAGCGGCGCCTATGTCTCGCTTTTTTGCTACGCAGGTGAGACAATTATGTATAAAACTATATATAAATATTAATATGGCTATAAAGTCATATTTATGGCCTGAGTTTTCTAAAAGGTATAGCCCCTTTCCAAAATATTGTGACTTCCACAGCACTTACCAAAAAGTAACCTGAAAAAAGTTGTAACACCAAATCTATGATTGCAAAAAGTTATTTTTTAAAATAGATAATCCTATTTAAAAATATGAAGTACAGATATTTTGCAATCTAAAGATAAGTAAAAAGAAATACAAGAGGCAGGAAATCATTGCTATGCATATATCATAATATCATTCAATAAAATAGGTAAAATTTCAGAGTAGCCTCAACTTTCCTAACAGAATCAGACTCTTTCTGCTATCGTATTGAATTTGTTCCCACAATTCTGATAGAGTATTCAAAATATTGCATTTGGTATTCTTCGCTCAGTCCAACACTTATTTTGAAGCAAAGGGTGACTGTCTTGACAAGAAAGTCTTAGTCTGTTTTTTACATGTTAGACTGTAACTGAAAAAACTTGGCGCGATAGCTCAGTTGGTAGAGCAGTGGTCTCGTAATCCGGTGACCCGGGTTCGAAACCAAGGCGATGCGCTAGTGCCCCTTGGTAAGGAATTAATCCTCATTACCAGGTCCGTCGGAGAGGACCTAAAGCCGTCGGTTTTCTGGTTGCTTACTAACAAGCATTGATTTTATACTTTCTTGGCAGTCAAGTAAAATAACCACCACTACACTTGTGCAATCATTTTCTATTGAAATTGACTAAATAGAACTTTAGCATGACCTTTGATGAACCTGTAATGTTCTTACCTATGGTATTTCAGTACAGTGTAGACGGCTTCGAAGCATGAAAGAACGCAGAAGGTCACATGGTCCATTCCATCTCCTCCCCTTCTCTCTCCCATCTCCTGCCTAGCTCCCTGGTTTTTAATTAGCAGTCTGGTTTCTGTCCCTCTCTCAGGTGTGTTGGAGGAAGAGGTAGCTGGTGGTGAAATGCACATATCTTCGCTCTCCTGCACACTCTCTTTCTCTTCTAAAGGCTCCAAGCCTACTAATTAAAAAAAAAACAAAAAAACAATAATAATGCCATCAATGTTATGAGAAATTAATTTAGATTTATTGCAGTATGCCATGATTTTGTCTCTTGGGAAAATATTGGCCTCAAAGTTTGATGCTAACATAAATGAACTCAAAATTAATCTACATAAATTCTCAAACAAATTAAAAGATGTTGCTTAATAATTTATTCATGCAAATATATTTCATGCAATGCTACGAAGTTTAGAAAAACTCATAATGTTCCACATTAACTCGATGCAAGCTTGTCCAAAGTTTGTACAAATTAGTGATCAAGTAAATTAAAGGACATCTCCTAAGCTAAGTGCTAATCTAATTCTACTTGAAGCAATGTAGACTGGTACTACATGTGTACATAACAGTACCTGTGACATCACAAGCACACATACGATTTAGCAGACTGACAGGTAGCTGGAAAGCCATTAGTCAAGTAAAGTAAACAGGCAAGAATAACTGCAGCGTATTTATAAAGTGTACTTCAACATAAAGCACTCCACTTTTTTAATCTTATAACACGTAGAGAGTTAGTACACGTAAGATGTGCACAGCTTTTTTTTCATCCCCACTTGCCAGTCACAAAGTTATAATAATAATAATAACAATATTTATAAAGCGCAACATATCCATCTCTAGAGATGCTCAAACCAGGTTTATGGCGGCATACCAGTATGCGAACAAGCCTATACAGCGCCCTCTATTAATGGAAAGCAAAACAACCTCACAAAAAAGTATCATGTGTGACCTCAATTTACTTATTCTTGGTGGTGTTTCTGCAGCCTGGGTGATGACGGTACTGGTTGTAGGTTTTGAGGCCTCCTGTATCATCTTCTTCCATTGACGGTACACCCTCTCAATGTCACCTTCACACTTGGTGGTGACATCCTTGTACCTGTTACAACAGAGTGAAAAAGTAAGTGTGGTAGGTGTAAACAAGGAATTTGAAGAAGAAAAAAAGAAGGTGTTCCTTAGTACATGTAGTAGAAGCATTTTTATATTTTACGAAGAAAAACTTTACCATACAAATTTGTAATCTTTTACAAAAATTGCCTTCAATTTTTTATATATTTTGTGCCTTGCTTAGTGAATCCTTACATGTCAGCTATATTATCACATAGGTATTCAGGGAAACCTTTTTCACTAACATATCATTTGAAGGGGGAGGGGAAGCTATATGCAATCAAGTACCTTCTACAATATGTTTTTAAGTGTAGGTATGTCAATGCATCCCAAGATCAAATTCTACATCAATGACTGAAGGAAAAAAGATAAAAATAAATATCTTGCACAACAAATTTGAACAAATTCATGTACCACTCTATAATCACACAAAACGGTGGGAAGATTGGTAGTTGAGAAACTAGGAGGGTGCGGGGTTGAAGCATTATCATAGCCTTTTCATCATCAATAGTGATCTGTCAGTTTATGACAGGTTCAGTGTCTCTCCAAGCTCCTCGGTCTTGAGCCATCCGTTTCAGCGTTTCATACCCTGTTGCTCGACATTCTGTAATAACATCGTCTAGAAAGCCTTTACGAGGTCTTCCCCTTTTCTTCTTTCCATGAATACGACCTTCATATGAGCATCAAGTCCTCATCATGCCACATTATGTGTCCAAGCCATTTCTTCTGTCTCTCTCTAATCGTTTGAATCAGCACCCGCTTTTCTTGAGCTCGATGTAACACCTCTTCATTCAAAACTCTGTCCCTCCAAGACACATCTAGTAATTTGCGCCAGCACAACATTTTGACCGCCTCCAAACGCAGGGAAGGCTTAATCCTTCAATACACAGTCCCTTCGGCCTGGCCCACCCACTCAGTGTTATTTAGGGTACGCATATGCGTGTTCCAAGCGACCCCCCCTTTTCAGCAAAAGTCTGGTGTGTAAAGTCAATACGGGTCGACCTTTTTCTTTTGTTATACAAGCCTTTTTCAGCACCCCCCCCCCCCCCCCCCCCCCCTTTTCAGCAAAAGTCCTGTGTGTAAAGTCAATACGGGTCGACCTTTTTCTTTTGTTACAAAAGGACATTTTGGTAACACGCATAGGGTCCGTCCGTTCTCGGAGTGGGGGGGCCGGGCCCTTCGGTAGCACTTTTACAATTTGAACCAATTCCATTGACTGATAAGGCTTACAAGGACCTTTTCAAGTTACTCATTGACAAGCAAAACCACCCTGGGGTCATGTCTCTTTTCACTAGGATCAATGATTGATGTCTACTCACTTTGTCTTTTTGTGTAGTGGATTTAAGATCTCCTTAGCAGCAGAGTGAAAGGAGTTCAGCTGTTTTGATGTGAAAGAATCTGTTTCACAGGCAAAAGATAAAAAACAAACTTTAAAGGGATAGTTGAGTTCTGTTGCAGAGGGCGCTACAAAAATAATTTTTTTGGAGAGATAATGAAAAACTGAGAGTCAAATTTGAGAGAACATACAATTTAAATGACAAAATCATCTTTGTTTGATCAAAATCGGTTCAGAGACGGCTGAAATATCCATCAATATAACGATTTCTAATACTTATATGTACCACCTCAAATATTAGATAATTTTAAAAAGCCGTTGAAAAAACGAAATAGCGCCTTTCAGCCAATGCCGATGTTGGCTTTCTGTTGGCATTTTCGTGTTGGTTATATTACGCACAACCAGCCGGCCCGTGTATTGTTATTTTTAACTAAATAATTAATTAACGGTCACCATATATTTTTGAAAGGGGAGGTGAATTGGTATGATCGTATTGGCTAAATTTCACACATTTTGGGGTCTAAAATTACCTTCGTAGCAATTTTAGGTTCTAAAAGGGCACTAGAAATGTCAAAGATAAGAATAAGAGCAATAACCATGCACTTTGAAGGCATTTGCGGTCTGAAAACTGAACTGAACTATCCCTTTAATGCCAGTCTCTATTTCAATTATCAAAATATAAATTTGTTGTAATATTTAAAATATAATGAGATACAAGATACACCCTGGGTAAATCTAACTTAGGTCAAAATACTTAATTCAAATCAAATTACATTCTGTTTAAACAGGTAAGTAAAGAAAAAGATAATGGATAGATTCCATACAAATATATATAAAATGTATACAAAATTGGAAAAAAAAGTATTTACATCTTCATATTGGTAATGCATAACAAACTCTCTCCAACATATCAGCTTTACTTTGCATTGATTTTAAAAGTATGTACTATCAATTCCTACCCATATGGTTTCATTTCAATTTCACCAGAACAATTCAGTTCACTTCACTTCAGTTCACTTTATTCAAAACCACACAAAGCATGATATAATCTGTTACATAAAAAAAGAGACTGGTAATAGTACATCAATCAACATATTCTAACTTGATTACATCATAAACTGAATGGTTTTAGGACCCCTTTAGAAGCTAAGCTTGTGAGCTCTAAGAACTCTAAGAACTCTAAGGAGGAAAAGCCGATTCCCTTATTCCTTTAGGAAGCTTCAATTTAACGGTACATGTACTTACCTTCTTCTCTAATTCTTTCCACAATAGAGATAAGCTGATCCACCTCCTCTGAGTTCCTACGCCCTAGCAGTAATCCAAACACAGCTACATAATGTCTACAGAAAATGTATAAAAGAGAAAATGAGCGAACAAGTACATGAAAAACCTTCCATTACCTGGTATGAATAAAGGTACAAATAAAGAGAGTGGCCTGTTTGGGATACTGACTAAACACTGTTTTGTATACAAACAAAGGTTTTCAGTCTATATAAACCAGCTTGTTGATCTAACATTTGTATTCATATTGTCCAGAAACCTTGTGAGTCTTCTCATTCTATAATAGGGACTTTTAGATTTGCGTGGACTGATACGTGTGACGTCCATTCAAGGCAGTGCATTACAAGGACATCGATCGTAGCAATCCATGTTGTCGTTGTACAAATCTAAAAGTCCCTAATATATCCCAAGTTGGCCACCCAATATTCAAATGTGCATCTTCTTTTTTATCTTCATATATTAAATTGAAATCTAACTACATTGTACCACACACATCTGTGAATCTTGATGTACACCCCCTCTTTCTTTTTCTTCTTATTTTCCTCTCTCTCTCTCTTTCCCCTTTTACCAATATTTATTCCTCCATATTCGTATCATTATGTATCCATTGAGAGCAGACATGCTATCAAGCTTTGCTTACTTTGTCAAGTTGTTGGTTCTCAGCTTTTCGTGGCAACAAGATATTTTCAAAGATGTTTATAACTTATATATCCCTGTGATCTTTGACCTTCGACCTCATGACCCCTAATTCTACCCATTTCATCCTTTCATGCTGGTACATTCTTGACCAAAATCAATTTTTCAAAATTTACCGAGTTTTTCTGACTCAATCCCATTTTGCATTGACTACTGAATGACTAGGAACTTAGTTCTGATTGAGATAATTAGCAACTCTACATAAAAGGAAGAACAGGTGGTCAATGCCGATTCCAAAAATTAAACAAAGAATAGTAACTTGAAATTTTAAATCTGCTATTTCATCAAAAATGACAAATGGAGTGGAATGGGAATTATCAAGAATCCTTCTTACTTCTTGATACATTGTAGGGCATCTAGGAGAGACCAAGGAGGTTTCTTGTGTACAATCTCTAACCTGCAAAATAATGAAAAACAATAAGAAAATACATTATTATTTCAAAATCTAATATACAAAATATTCTATTCTATTGACAGTCACAAAATATAGATAATACAGGTCTTGTAGTTTAGATTTTGTGCTTTATGAAATTGGTTATATTTAGGGGTAATTCATAGAGTAAGGTCTTTAAATGGTTCAGATGCTACACACAAATATATGGGGCACCGGTAGTTCTTCCCAATTAGTGTAAAAGAGATACCAGATATATGCTAGATCCCTATAAATGTACAATGTGTAGCCTGAGGAAAAAAACCTGAAACAGAATGATGAGGCCTAAAAAAAAGGATGTTTTTTTGCCCTTTGCGACCGACCCAAAAATCTTGAAATCTATGGCCGGCTTTTTAATTAATTTTTTTTAACAGGTTTTTTCGAAAAAAATGTATTAAAGCATTCAAAACAGAGAAATATCAGCCCAAAGAGGGAGTAAAAAAAAAAGTTTTAAAAAAGTTTTAAAAAAGGATTTCTGACCGACCGACCCAAAGGTAATACAAAATCTTTTTGTTAAAGGTCTGACAGGAGGCGAAATTGGGCAAAGGCTGAAAGCTGGCATCATTGTCAATACTTGAAACAGAGTAATGACACTACCTAATGTGGAAGTGTGGTGGTCTAGTGGACACGTCAACAGACTTTGGATGCCAGTGACATCAATCTTCATTTGCCACACTCAATCCGGGTGAAGTAAATGGGTACCTGGCACAAATTAATTATTATTATCATGATGCAAAAAATGATTTAATAGAAGAGGTTTTTTCTTACCAGTGATCAGTGTAGCTCTCTACCATCTCCTGTCTGAGGATAACAACCAAAGCAAGCCTCAAAAAACCTGTCAGCTGTATGGTGTAATCTCTCTCCTAATCATCAAACAAACAAACAAACAAAATGTTAATTAAGATGTTAAGAATTATTAGGTCTTTTTACATATTCAGCAAAAGCTTGCCTGTTTGGGGGATTTGCTTTCCTCTTGTAATCCTCTAACAGTTAAAGAAAAAATAGAATACAAAGTGTTGATAATTATGAGGTCTTTTTACATATTGTACAATAACTTGCCTGTATTGGTTAATTCCAAACATTCTCAACAAAATACTACTTCTTCCACTACCACTACCACTACCACTACCACTACCACTACCACCACCACTACTACTACTACTACTACTACTACTTCTGTTACTGATAATAATAATAATGATAATTATAATAACAATAATAATAATAACACCAGAATGTTGGTAAAAATCTCATAAATCATAAGAATAACAATATTACCTTTTTCTTTCTCTCTGTGGCTGAATCTGATGCATGTGGATGATCAATGTTCTCCTCTATCAAATCCGATTTGGCTTTAACTGTTCCACAAGGGGCTGTAGAAGATGTAGATGGCCTTCCTTGTGTCTTTGTCTCCTTCTCTCCCATTGTAATGTTTGATTTAGTCCTCAAGTCACTCTGTGATGCTGGTGAAGATGGCTTTGGTCTGTTCACATCACTCTGATTCATGAGGGGAGATGGTGTGGTTCTCTTTCTATCATTTTGTTGAGATATGCAAGGTTGCTTTCTTCTTTCATTGTCTTCACTGTGAGTCTTGAGGTCTGTAAATGATGAACAATATAATAGACCAGTTCACAGTTAGCACATGGCTCCAATGACCCCGATTATCCACAGATCTTCAAAACATGAAAAGGTCCCACTTTGTACATTTTGAAATAAACACTCCTACAGCGATGGAGATGCTACATACTCAGCCTTTGTTTCCCCTTTTCAAAGAACACTTCCACCTGTGTATCATGGAGTGCTCTGCTTGTGCATAAATGAATAATGATTACATAACACTCATGAGCACGTATCAAGTATTCCATCTCCGTGTATTTCACAATTTGTACTGCAATGACCTTTATCTGCTCATGCTCAGACTGCAACCGTGAACGGGCTTAATGATAACAGAATCTAACAAATTTCATATTAAAGTCCAAAGACAATTGGATATCTGCCTATTGAAATGAAAGAAACTGTAAAAAATATTTAATGTACAACAAGAGTTCTCACATAATCTTACAACTTCACAATTAAAAACCAAACAAAGTTTATGATATCTACCCATTAATTTCATATCCATTTAAATTTGCCAACTTCAGCTAAGGACAGGTTAGGAGCATGCTATGATCTGAGCACAATTTGCTACCACACTTGTAAAAAAGTAAAAATTATGTAATAAATTAATCCATTTTACCTAGGATTTTGTTGACTAGCTTGATAATCTCGACATGTCAAAATGATACTTCTCAAATGCTGGCAAATTCTAACGATTCTAAAGTCTAATGGTAAACGCCTTCCTCACTCAGCGGAATTCCTTTTCATTCATGTTGAAATAAAAGGAGACGAAAAAACTCTCAAAGAATCTGCATAGATATCAATGCCTTTGGAATTTCCTTGAGCATGACCTACCAGAGATAAAAAAAGGATCAGCATGGTTTCAAGATTATTTGTTGGACAAATTTCTCTTCCAGGGGCAGTTAATTTGAAGTTCTTGCATATACCTGCTCACTTCCATTTTCTTCTGCCGAGAGCCAGAAGGGCATTAAAGGGATAGTTCTTGTTTAAGACCGCAAATGCCTTCAAAGTGCATTTTTATTATTTAGGACATTTCTAGTGCCCTTTTAGAACCTACAATTGCTATGAAGGTAATATCAGACCCCACCCGAAAATGTGTGAATTTAGATTGAATACGATCACACCAATTCAGCTCCACTTTCAAAAAAATATGGTGACTATTGATTAATTATTTAATTAATAATTATTTTGTTTTAAAGCCGATATTGGCATTGGCTGGTATAAGGCGCTACAGTATCTTGGTTTTTAATGGCTGGTTCAAAATTGCCGAATATTTGTTGGGCGCCAAAAATATTAGAAATGGTTATATTTTTGGATATTTCAGCCGTTTCTGAACCAATTTTGATCAAAACATAGGTAATTTTGTGATTTAAATGGTATATTATTTGGTTTTTTCATTATCTGACAAAAAACATTTTGTGTAGCGCCCTCTGCAACAAAACCCTACTATCCCTTTAACTCTTCATAAAAGTATTGGAGTTAATGCCCTTCTAGCTCACAGTAGACAATTTCTCTGTAAACCGTACCTTTCACTGTAGATGTGTTGTTGTTTTGGAATGTTCCTGGGGACGTGAACTCCATGGGAGAGATACAGGTGATGGCTCCTTCCGGTGAGGACCTCCCTGAAGCTGAGGAGGGACACTCCTCGCTGGGTGAGAATATATCGTTGTCGTCAGAGGAGGAGAGACAGAGCTGAGAGTGGCTTTTGACCTGTTTAATGATCTCATCCATAAAGAGCTGATAGAAGGGGGAATATAAGCAAAAAAAATAGTAAAACAGTGACGCTTGATGAGAATACATCATTGTCGTCAGAGGATAAACAGAGCTGAGAGTGACTTTTGACCTGTTTAGTGATCTCATCCATAAAGAGCTGATAGAAGGGGAATATAAGCCAGAAAAATAGTAAAACAGTGAAGCAAAGTATTTGAACTCCAAGACATTTTGGCAAAACATGAAACACATCTAGCAAATCGTCTTACACCTATCATTGACATCAGTGAAAAAAAAAGTGCCTCAGTAATATTGTGGCCATGACATGATGGAGAAAGACAATCATTGATTAGCAAAAGGGGTTATAACAGCAACACAACAGTTTCAAAACAGTGACAAACAAGAAAATCCCTTCAAATATTGCATTAAATGGTATCTGACCCCCAGGACAGGTGAATGTCCATTTATATAATATAGATACTGACATAAAATGATGACAGAAATGATGCTTAGGGGAAGTTGTTACATGTAATAGGGTCTTAAAGGGCAAGCCAGCCCTTGTAATAAGCTCATTTATATAAAATAAGAAATATGAGGACACAGACGGGCAAAAGTTTGAAATAAATCAGACCAATGATTTGGTGTTATGAATGTTTGGCATATGAGATCACTAAATCTATGCAAATCTCAAATTGGCAATTTGGTAAGTGGATTGTGACATAGTCAAGGACACCTCTCAAATTTGTGATGTTAAAAAATATCACTGATTTCTATTTTTCTCTCAAGTATCTTATCCCTTGAGGCACTACTCAAAATATATCATGGATAGCATATCATCATTCAATTCAATTTGATTCAATTCAATTCAAGATTTTATTTCGAAAAACATAGAGTACAATGATGCACATGCTGCAGCTAAAAAGCTGAAATGTATGTGTGTACAATGATCGAGGATACATATAAATAGAAAAGAGTTTCCATTCACAAAACATATCTACATTATCGTACAATGAAACCATGACAGATAAAATACTGGTCTGGTTAAAAAGACAACTGTTCAAATAAAAAAGATTGGGACTGAAAAGAAAAACTTAAAACAATCAGTGATTATTAAGAAGATCAATAAAATATGGTATTGCACTTTGTTTGAAATGAGAGGTTCTGCATTGATATTGACTATACTTGTGTTTATTTCGTAATGCCATGTCAACAATATTTCGTTCAGGAAACCAGCCTTTAAAACCAAGAGGACCTCTCCGGACATTTCTCATACATAAAGTCCCCATGAATGAATCGTAACCCTACCCTATCTCCAGATGATGGCACTCCGCTGAATGAAGCCTTCACACAAAGGTTCTTGTCGTTGCTAAGCAACACAACCAAGTTCTCTGGATCTATTTGGGAAAGAAAAGCCAATGTCACCATTCCTTCTTTTCTATTCCACAAAAGTATTGTTTTCCTTGTGGGGAATTCATTGCTTTGTTTCTACCACATCCCGTAAACCAATTAATTTGTTCAAATGTGTACCTGCAATAATCTGACAGATAATTTTTGCTGTTCAATTTCTATATTTGATCCATCGATCTTAATAAACTCTATTTACATCATCTAAAGTGGAAATTACAGATGTATCATAGGATATGGCTAAATGCAATATATGAATTCTTAATTGCTATTTCCAATTGCTATTTCTTCTTGGGTTCAAAATATATAATCCTACCATTTGCGTACAATGCAGTTAAATTTAAAGCAGACATACTCCCTATGCACACTGGTAATATATTTTCTCCATTATACATACATGTAGATAGATAAATCTCTCTTTACAATAATTTCATTGCACTTACATTTTTTCTTACACTGCAAACAGTAGCGTAGAATCTTGTCATCACTGGTTTCTTTCACATCTTTCTCTCTCTTTGTCTTCAGAAACTGTAAGACATTCAAGAAGAAAGAAAGAAAATGAACAAAACAGGGTATCAATCTCGAGACAGAATGGGGCAATTTCAGTAGCTTATTACACTTCTGGTAACTTGTTATTGATAAACAGTTTCATGAAACAAGGCCCAGATCCAGAAATCAAGGTTGGGACATCTGTTGGGGAAACCATTTGCAAAGGTTAACACCATCAGTTATCTGCACCAATAGCCACTATGCAAGTGTTAAAGCCCCACTGTCCTACTTGTAGCTACTTGCTCCCTCTATAATATAGAAAACTTCCCCAATCGGTGCCTGTTGGTCCCCTATGATCCTCTTTTTCTTATGTTAGTTGAGAGCTGAGTTAATGAGATAGCCACCTGTCAGTGACCTCGCTGTGTGGTCTAAACCCTTCTGGCCCAGTAGTGTTGATGGTCTTTAATAAACATTGCATTAATAGCAGAGATGCCAACCTCTTGACACCAAAAAACAGACTGAGTATCCTAAAAATCTGATTTTGGAGAGAAAAATCAGATTTTCACGAAAACTTGACACTACCACTGGCCCGTCGACCCCGGGCCATTAAAATTTCATTAAAATTTAATGAGAAAATTGTAAAGCAAATTTTTGTTGGGGTTGCGGGGGTTAACTTGTACTTGTTTCTATGCAATTCTGCTGTTTTTATGGGTTTTAAAAAAAAATATATAAAAAAAATAAATGAAAAATCGTATTTTTAAGATTTTAAGATCATTTCTCACTCTCTTATCATACTAAATACAATTTAATTGTACTGGTTGGCATCTCTATTATAGAACTTAGCTGCAAATGTATGTTGGCTCTTTTCTGAGATTCTCACATGGTTTTACGACTGGTATTGATGTTAGGATCAGTCCTATGGCGTAAATATACCGATCAATGAAGAAAAAAAA